CTCCCAGTCTGTCCCTTCCCACCTCCCTCCCCGCTGGCAACCACAAGTTTGTATTCTATGTCTATGAGTCTGTTTTTGCTTTATATTTAAGTTCATTTGTCTTCTTCTTCTTCTTTTTAAATTCCACATATGAGCGATCTCATATGGTATTTGTCTTTCTCTTTCTGGCTTACTTCACTTAGAATGACATTCTCCAGGGACATCCATGTTGCTGCAAATGGCGTTATGTTGTTATTTATTATGGCTGAGTAGCACTCCATTGTATAAATATACCTCATCTTCTTTATTCAGTCATCTGTCGATGGACATTTAATTTAAGGTTTTTGTTGCAATATAGTTGATTTACAATGTCGTGTTAGTTTCTGGTGTGCGGTGTAGTGATTCACTTACACATATTCTTTTGCATATTCTTTTTCATGATAGGTTATTTATTACAAGCTGCTGAATACAGTTCTCTGTGTTATACACAGTAGGAGCTTGTTATTTATCTATTCTGTATATAGTAGTTTGCAAATACATTTTTTATTCTATCACAAACCTGAGGTCCTGAGCAGGCAGTGAGTCACCTCAGTCCTTCCTTTGACCTGCAAACGTCTGCTCCACCAGCCCAGCCCCTTCCCTTGTCTGACCTCCTGTTACTTGATAGGGTCTGAGGCTAGGATTAAGTTAGCCATAGTCACAAAGATGTTTTTTCTCCCTGCAAAGCTAAGAAGGAACCCCTGATCCCCTCCTAGGTGACTGGGCAAGGTTCTCTGGGGCAGAGGCTGGTGTTTGGGGCTGCAGTGGAGTGTGAAGTGGGGGGAGGATGGGCCTGAGGGGAGGGCAAGGGAGGAGGGAGAGGATGGGGGGGGAGGTGGCGCCTGGCGCCTGGGAGTCCTGAGGGGAAGGGCCCAGATGAGATGCTTCTGCAGAGTCAGCAGGGGAGGGAGGCAGAGCTTCGCGAGTGGTTAGAACTGACGACCCAGACGTATATAAGTGTGAGTATCTCTGCGGTTTTACTTCCCACCACCACCGGCCCACAGCACGGCCCTCAGGAGCCCGCGACGGGGAGCAGCCCCTGGAGGAGGGAGGAGGCCGAGATGAGTGGTGACGAGGTCCGCTTCTGCACAGACAGCCAGAGTGTCTCCCTCTGCTCCCAAGGTGAGAAAATGATCTGCCCCAGCCCTCGGCCAGTCTTCTCAGCCCCTGCCTGGCAGGCCCTGGCTGTCTCAGCCTCCAGGGTGAACAGGTCTGGAGAAGGAGGGTTGGGGGACGGCAGAGAGCCCCCAGCCCACACCCCATCTCCACGTGAAATCTCCCCAGACCCTTTCCCATGAAGATGGCAACCTGGCAGGGCAAAGAGTGGACTTTGAATTCAGGGGGACCTGGTTTTGTACCCCGTCTCTGCACACTAGGCTGGCCCCGTGAGGCCTCAGGGGTTCCACCTTCGAGTGGATTTCCCTGTGCTATCAGCCCCCCGACTCCCAGGCACAGCCCTTCTTAGGACACCCTTAGGGGGGCTTTCTGACCCAGCCGGAGGAGGCTCCAGGGCTGATCCATGGCAGCTTGTTGGGGCAGTGGCAGGCCCCAAGGGCCATGAGGCTTGCTCCGGTCAGGATTCACAGAGCAAGGTGGGCCCTGGGACTCCGTGGTTAAAGCTCCTGCTGTGTCTCTCCCTCCTTCCTTTCTGCTTTCATTCAGGTGACCCCTTTGTTGACCCCTCCTCTGTGCCAGGCTCGTGCCCTGCACACATCCTGCAGGTTCGGGGCTGTGGGCTTCTCTTAGCCTCTGAACTGCTACCACGCCCCGTACAAGCCCTGGGGAATGTTTCCAAGCACTCAGGGCCCTCCTCCAGGGTAGGCATGGTGACTGTCCTCAGCCCCTTGGACAGGCCGAGAGACTGAGCCCGTCCAGCCCGCACAGTGCACTCTCCTTCAGAATCCTGCTTCCCCCTGGGCAGGGCTGGACTCCGCGGCAGTGACTCCTGCAGCCTCCAAGATGCCCCGGCGTTTGTGGGCCACCCTGGCCTTTGTGGCTGTGACCCTTGTCTCCTCTCTTGTGGCTCTCTTTGTTGTGGGTAAGCTCCCAGGTGACCTGAACCCCACCGACTCTCTCCTTCCGGCATAAAGGCCCCAAAGAGCCACAGATGCACCCCCTCTGCTCCCAGAAGGGCAGCTCCCCTCCAGTCCCAGGCCCAAACCAGAGCTCTCCTGGCACCCGACTGAGGCCGCTGTCCAACGTCCCCGGAGATGAGGCCTGTGAGGGGAACTTGGTGGGGGGTTGGTTGGTACCGTCTCCCCTCCTTCTGGAACCCTGACTGGGGGTGGGGCAGACTGCTCCCCCAGGATCAGTGCTGAGGGGCTGTGTTGACCCAGGAATGGGGTGTCTCAGTTCTACAGACCCCAAGACCTGCACTGGAGGCCTCCTTCCAAACGTTTCAAGCCAGGGTTCCTGGAGGCAGCAGTTCTGGGCAGTTTCCCGGGGAGCCGGACCGTGAGTAGCCACAGTGGAGGGGGTGGGAGCCAGGGCCTGTGGGTGCCCAGACCCCAGAACACGCTTCCCCCGATACCCTGAGGCCCTTGAATGGGTTCCATCTCCTCCAAGAAAGGCATTACCTTTTTTTTTTTTTAAGAAAACAGCTTTCTTGAGATATAATAGATACATAATAAAGTGTGCAATCTTGTAAGTTTTGACACATGTATAAACCCATGAAACATCATCGCAATCAAGACAATGAACATATTCAACCTCCTCCCCCAAAGTTTACTTTTACCCTTGGCAATCCTTCCTCTCTGCTCCGCCCTCATTCCCAGGCAGTTGCCACTCATCTCCTAGCTGTAATACAGATTGCTTGGCTTTTCTAGAGTTTTCTATAAAAGGATCTTTAGTATGTATTCTTTTTTTGACTTTCATCAGTCATGTGATTTGCACATTTTTTCTCCAAGTCTGTGGTTTGCCTGTCTTTTCTCTTAACAAGATTTACACTTCGATAAAGTCTAATTTATCCATTTTTAGTTCTTTTATGAATTGTCCTTTTGGTCTTGTATCTAAGAAATCTTTACCTATCTCAAGGTCGCAAAGACATTCTCCCATGTTTCTTTCTGGAAATTTTTATAGTTTTCGGTTTTACATTTAGGTCTACGATTGACTTTGAGTTAATTTTTGTATAATGGTGCAAGGTATAGATTGAAGTTCATTTCTTCTTTTTTGCATGTGGTTATACAATTGTTCCAGCGCCATTTGTTGAAAAAGTTATCCTTTCTCCATGAATTGCCTTTGTATCTTTGTTGAAAATCAATTGTCCGTACACGTGTGGATTCTCTCTTCTGTTCCATTGAGCAAGGCCTTTCTGGTCTTACCTCAGCATAATGGCTGAAGTTTCACACGCCTACCAGGTAGAGCTTTAGAAATAGGGCAGGAATCCTCTGGAAAGGGTGCTTGTCTACTTGAGTTCTTCTCCCTATTCCTGAAAGGAGACTGGAATCAAGAGCCTCCCACCATGAGCGTCTGAGTTGACGTTCTAGCTCACGAGACGCACAAAGGATGCTAGTGGGACCAAGGGCAGCTGCAGATGGGTTTGGTGGGAAAGACCATGCAGACGAAAGGGGCTACAGAGATTCTCCTTGAATGACCCCAAGGACCAAGGCTTTTCACTCAGGTCTCCCATATCCTCAAATGGTTCTGCAGGGACCTGTGTCCTGTGTAACATTGGGGGGGGCAGCCCTTTAAAGGGCCATTGCGGCTCAGGGTCTGTTATCACCTGGAGGGCTTGTACCATAGCCCCGTGGTTGAGCAGAGTGCTTCCTCCATGGGCACTTATTTTGTTTGGCTTGTGACTCTTTCCCTCCATGGATTTGTGATCAGAAAATGTCTATGTTTGTGGTCTACATGGTTTTTATGAAGTAACAACAGTGAATCAAGAGTCTTTGTGCTTGTACAAATGTAGCATAGGACTAAACGTGGGCTCTAATCATATCTGTCTTCTTTGCCGTAATGACCTAATGGTGCTAATGGTGACACTGCAGTGGAATTAATTGTCAAGAGCTCTAAATGATACAATCGGTTACTTTCAAGTTCAATTATATTGGCCAAATCATCCAGTGGGCAAGTATTTCAGTCCTTCTGCTCCTGAGTTCATGTGGGATAGCTAAGTAGGTCTTCATTTCGTTTTGGGGTTCACATTCTCAGGTGGCCCATCCCCAGGGTCTGGGTGGCTATGGGGAGCAGCAGGCTACTTGAGGAAAACTCAGGGTCGTGCCGTAGACACTTCCCTTGGAAGCTGTCAGCATGTTCTGGCTGGCCTCTATCATGAATGCCCCGCTATGTAATGGGCATCTCTGGCTGCCTTCTCCATTTCCTCTCTCCAGATCCCTACCACCTTGACAGGGTAGCAGAATTGCAAGAGGCTGTCCAGATGTGCAGAGGACACGTGGAGAATTCCAGCGCCTGGAGCTTGGAGATCCAGATGTTGACGTGCAGAGTGGACAACGTCAGTTCTCAGATCCAGAGGCTCGGGGGTCGCCTAGACAACGCCAGTGCTGACATCCAGATGGTCAAAGGCCTCCTCAAGGATGCCCACACCTGGAGTTTCCAGACCCAGATGTTAAGGAGTTCCTTGGAGGGGACCAGTTCTGAGATCCAGAAGCTAAAGGGAGACCTGGAAGAGGCAGAGGCTGTAAATTCTCAGACCCAGAGTTTCTTAAAAAGCAGTTTAGGAAACACTAGCATGGAGCTCCGTCTGTTAAGCAGAAGCTTAGATGATGTCGACACGGAGATCCAGGTGTTGAAGGCCGGGTTGGAAACAGCAAATGCTCAGATCCTGTTGGCAAACAGTAACTTACAGAATGCTAGTGCCCAAATCCATGTTTTGAGAGGCCATCTGGACGGCATTGATGATTTAAGGGCCCAGCAGCAGGATGTTAGACGTGGTTTGGAAGGAGTCACTAGTGAGATGCAGAGGCTAAAGGAAAGTCTGCAAAACACGAACGCTGTAAACTCCCAGGCCCAGACCTTTATAAACGGCAGTTTAGACAACACCAGTGCTGAGATCCAGGCACTAAGAAGTCATTTGGAAAGGGCTGGCCATGAGCTTCATTTGCTAAGAAGAGATTTGGAAACGGCCGCTGCCCAGACCCAAAGAGCAAACGGTCGCCTGGAACAAACAGATGCTCAGGTGCAGGTTTTACAAACCCAGCTGGAAAATGCCGCTGCCTTAAAGCCTAAGATTCAGGTATTAAATGGTCAGCTGAGGGATGCCAGTCGAGAGATAGAGACCCTAAAACAAGGCATGAGGGATTCTGCAGCCCTAAATTCCAAGACCCAGATGTTAGAGAGCCAGCTGCAGAAGGCCAGCGCTGAGATCCAGAAGTTAAAAGGGGATTTAAAGAACACCAAGACACTGACTACGAAAATCCAGGAGATGCAGAGTAGCCTGGAGACCCTCCGTGCAGCCTCTGCTTCGCTGGAGCAGAAACAGAGGACCCGAAGTAAGTGGGGGAGAGGAGAGGGCTGGGGAGGGCAGAGGCTCTCCCCAGCCCCCTCCTTTGGCTTTCTTCAACATGCACTCTGCTGGGAAGGAGTGTGGAAGGGCCAGATCCAACCAAAGGCAGCATAACCGCTGCTCTCAAGTTGCTTACTGCGTGGCCAGAGGGGCAAAACAAAACTTTGGGAAACAAACGATGTCTGGTGGAGGTGTCTAAGGGGGCTGGATTGTGTTAGGGGAACCAGACAGCCTTCTTTCCAACTCTCTGCTATCCCAAATACGGAGCTTGGTTCAACTTCTCTGAGCATCACTTTTCTCATCTACAAAGTGGGGACGATAATACTGGTTTCACAGTGAGGATCAAATGAGTTAATGCATATAAAGCATTTAACAAAGTACCCAGCATTCATGCAATCATCTGACAAAAATATTTTGACGTCCTGTTATGTGTCAGGGGCATAAAGATGAACAAGCTGTGAAACACACAGACGGGTAGAGCAAGCGGCCTTACACGAGAGACATGTGGAGAGACATAAGAGGCATTATGTTAGGAGCCGGTCTAAAAACTGGGGGTGGGGAGGAGCCAAAAGAAGAAGAAGAAGAGATCTTCTGGGGGCTGATGTCCTCTGGTGTAGAGAAGGATCTTCTGTTGGGGGGGCTTCAAGGAGGTTGACTAGATGGGTCTCCCGACTGAGCCAGGGAGTAAAAGAGGAAGAAGAGCAGTGAGATTTGGACATGCTGAGTCTGCAAGGTTTTGGGGATAGTCAAGCGGCTGTCATCTGCGGGCTGTCGGGAGCTCAGGAGAGAGGCCCTGCTGCAGACAGGGATGTGGGAGTCCTGGGCATGCTGGCTCTGGTGTGGCAGTGGGAGCGGGGGCGTTTGCCTGAGATAAGAAACTTCGTGAGAAGAAGGCTGGGGGCCAAAATAGGAAGTCAATCTTCAGGTGGCAAGAAGGAAAAGAGGTGTTTTTGGAGGCTGGAGAAGGCAGTCTTAGAATCAGCAGGAGAGCTGGGACATGTGCTGGTGGAGAAGACAAGGAAGGAGGGAATTCCAAGAAGGGAGTGGCTAGTTCTGGCAAATATCTGAGAGAGGCCGGGTAAAAAACCAATAAGCATCCACTAACTCCGGGCAACTAGTAAGTCACTGGAATAAAGTTTCAGTGGAGCGTTGTATGCGGCCTGGAGGCCAGAACACGGTCAGCGTGGCAGGAATGAGAGATCAGGTGCCCAGGTCATTCAAGGACCTTGGCTGAGAAGAGAGGGACAGAGATGAGGCTGAGGTGATGGGGATGGAAGGGGGGAAGGAGGGATTAAAAACAACCTGTATCATCCACATTTATATCACAAAACTTACGTATTAATTATAGATAGCGTGGCAAATACTGAAAAAGGGAAAGATGAGAATATGACCACTTGTATTTCCATAAAAAACTGTCCATTTTTAAAAATAAGAACCCACTGCTAACATTTTGGTGAACTTCCTCGAGAGGGTTTTTCTGGATCAGCATAGGCTTGATCTGAGGTAAGAAAAAGGAACCAGCAAAGAGGAAGGAGGTTGAAGGAGAGAGAGAGAGGAGAGGAGGACCGCATCGCTGAGTGATTGGCCTTGAGGGGTGGGGACAGTACTTGAACTTCTGAGGCTGGGAGGGGAGGAGGCGTGGAAGCAGATGTCCACCCAGGTTTGCAGATGCGGCCACTTAGAACTGAGGGAACTGATATCCAGTGGTGTCTCTGTAGCTAGAGGAGGAGGCCCCTGGTTAAGGGTGAGAGAGGAAGTAGGGAGCGGGGAGGGAGGGGGTGGTTTGGAGCAGCTGCTAACGAGATGGGGCTGACGGATGAGGGGCTTGGCAGACAGCACTGAGGATCCACTCTGTCAGAAGCCCGGACGTGTTCCCCTCTTTATGCCTCTCCCATGCCCCTCTGCTGTCTAACTCCTGTGTCTTCCTACAGCTTTGCTATAGACTGGTGTTTTTCCACCATGGGGGGCATATTGGACCCACTCATTAAGGTTTTAAAAAATGATGCCTGGAACCCACCCTCAGAACTCTTGACTTTTTTTTTAAAGGAGGGTCTGGGATGCAGCCTGGGCATCAGAATTTTTTTAAAAACTCCCTATGTGGTTCTAATGGGCAGCGAGGGCTGAGAACCATTAGTTTAACTTTTTCTTAGAGGGCCAAACGGTAGATATTTTGGACTTTTGGCTGCACGGTGTCTGTTGCAACATCTCTGCTGTTGGAATGATAAAGCAGCCAAAGACAATGTGTAAATTAAAAGGCGTTGCCATGTTCCAATAAAACTTTATTTATAAGAAGAAGCTGCTGGCAGGCAGTAGTTTGCCAAGCCTCGGTTTAGACCACTGGTCCTCAGACTTTGGAGTGCATCAGAATCACCTGGAGAGTTTGTTAAAACACAGATTGTCAAAAAAACAATTTTGGATTCAGCTGGTCTGGGGTGAGTCTGAGAATCTGCTTTTCGACCAAGTTCCCAGGTGCTGCTGATGCTGCCAGTCCGGGATGACACTTTGAAAGCCCCCTGGTTTACATGCTCACCACCCATTATTCAAACACTTGCAGTTGTATCGCACCTGTTCAGCCTCCACACTGTCACTAGGTTGACATTTTTACAGTGCAAGTCTGAGCATATCACCATCCTTCTTAAAACCCTTCATGGCTTTCCATTGCTCACAGAACAAACAAACCAACCAACCAACCCAAACTCCTATACACAGGATGCATGATTTAGTGCTGGTGAACCCATCCACGTTCATCTCCAACCCTTGTGCACTGACCATACCAAGTATTTGAACAGATCAGGCTGTGCCACGCTCTTTCACACCTTTATGCTTTGCGACAACTCTTTCCTCTGCCCGGAATGTTCTCCTTGGTGCTGCCCACCTGGCAAACTCTTCCTCAGTCTTTCAAGACTCAGCTCAAGTGACCTCTCACGGAGAGTGTCCTTCCTGAGTCCCACTTCCAGCCCAGGCAGGACAGACCACACCCTCTTTCGTGCCTCTATTCTGACATACAATGGTTTTCAATCAATGCATCTGCGACACTTTTTTTTTTGATGCATTTTGTTTTTTTTTCTTCTAACATCTGTTTCGTTTGCTAGACAGTAAGTTTCTTGAGGGCGTGAATCATGTCTTACTGATCTTTGTATAGCAGTCCCTGATTCGTAGATGGTAAGGAATGTGGAACAGAAGAAATGAGTGAATAAGTGAGTCTGTCGTGGCACCATTTCAAACAGCTGTGATACAGATGATGATGGTTAAGAGCAGAGGTGTCACAGCAAGGAGGGTTGAAACAGCGGAAAGAATCAGGGCTGGTGCTCATGGGGTGAGCTGTTAGGGTCTGAAGCTGTGAGGTTAGGCAGACCAGGGGGTGACAAAGGTCCCGAGTGGGGTCCTGTGTGTGGGCAGCTGACGGGGATGGAGACCAGGTCAAGGAAATGAGTGATGCTACAGGATGGCTGTGAAATCCCCCAGGGAAAGGGCAGGAATAGGGTGTAGAGGACTGTCAGGTGATGGTAGTGAGTTGGGAAAGAGGGTGGTGGTATAGCCAGGAAGCAGGAGTCTCGAAAGAGTGATGCTGGGAGGCAGGGCTGTCTGAATGTCCTCAGGGTGATGGAGCCAGACGTCCCGAGCTGATGTCTTCTGGTGTATTGGGTAGTCGCTGGGCGAGCGGCCTCCCAGACCTTGTCCCTGTGGCACTGGGCGTCGAGCATCGCATGGGCTTGTGACCCTTGGTCCCTGGAGAGATGGGGAGCCGCAACCAGCTCCTGGTTCTCTCTCCTCCCCAACCTTTGCTCCAGATCAACTTCTCCAGCTGATCCTGCAAGGCTGGAAGTCCTACAATGGGAACTTGTATTACTTTTCTATTGCCAAGAAGTCCTGGCACGAGGCCGAGCAGTCCTGTGTGTCCCAGGGAGCCCACCTGGCCTCGGTGACCTCCGAGGAGGAGCAGGTCAGAGCCGCGGGCTTGCGGCGGTGCGGGATCGGGGACTTTGGGGCTTTGGCCTTTCCCCCCCGGAGCGGCCGTGGCAGAGACCCGTGCGTCACCTCCGCCAGTCGGGGCGCAAATGTGTATTGCGTTCTTACGAGCATCTTGTCTGGAGGTACAAGCACTGCCCGCAAACCCCAATGTCCCCAGTGAACGAGGGAGACACTAGAGGAGTCAGCAGTGCAGAAGCACAGGGAGGGGGCACCACGTGATGGCCCTTAACGCGCTGGACGCCTGCTTCCCTCCCCACCCCCCCATTTTCCTCTCAGTCTCCCTCTCTAGGGGTCAGTCTTGATTTTAATGTCAGTCCATCTAATGGCTGTGGAAGGCCCATGAGCAGAAGACCCAGGCTTCCCGGGAAGGCCAGACACACGTAAGAGTTTGAGGACCACCAAAGGCAGCATAGCCCCGCAGTGGCCCACAGGTTAAAGGCTCTTACCAGAATTTACTAGGGTTATTGACAAGGGACCCCTATAGTTTTCGTCAAATTCATTTTATAGACTTGCCCGTCTCTTGTGGTTCTCCTGAGACTGTTCTCGTATGTCTGTGAAAGGATATGCTATTTTATAAAACATACCTTCTTAAAAAAATCATGGCCAGGTCTGTCTTAATCCCAATAAAGCCACACTCCTCATCAAGTCAACACAGGAGAAGCGGGGCTTTGCCTGAGGGGACCTGGCTACTGCCCTAGATCTGGAAAACAATGGAATGCATAGGGAGGGGCCCAGCTCCTGCGGAAGAGTGGGCTTGGCGCCCCGCCCCGGCCTAGGGAGGGAGAGACTTTCACACGAAGTCACTGCCTTTTCTCTGCAGGCATTTCTGATCCAGTTCACAAGTACCAATTACCACTGGATTGGCCTCACTGACAGGGGCACGGAGGGCCGCTGGCGCTGGGCAGATGACACACCATTCAACAGGGCCAGGAGCAGTGCGTGAGTCCAGCCACTCACTGTGTGGTGCCGTCCTGGGCACTGGCTTGGGCAGGCCTGGCTACAGATGCTTGTGTGTCTCTGTCCTGTGTATTTATCCCTGCCCCGTAAGCGTTAGTGTTCTGTGTGATATATGTGTATAATGTGTGTATGTGTATGTGTGTATGGGATGTGTTTATATGTGATTGTGTATGGTGTGTGTAAAGTGTGTATGATGTGTGTGGTGGGTTTGTGTGTATACATATGATTGTGTGATGTGCGTGTGTTGTGTGTGTACTGGGTGTGTGTATATATGTGTGGTGTGTGTGGTGTATGTATACTGGGTATGTGTATATATGACTGTGTGGTGTGTGTAATGTGTGTGTATGGTGTGTGTATACTGGGTGTGTGTATAGTTGATTGTGTGATGTGCGTGTGGTGTATGTATAGATGACTGTGTGGTGTGTGTGGTGTGTGTGGGGTGTGTGTATAGATGACTGTGTGGTGTGTGTGGGGTGTGTGGTGTGTGTGTGGTGTGT